TAAACCCACGAGGATCCGGGTCTACATGAGCGGTCCGAATATTCTGGGGAACAAGTCCCTGATGGGTGAGGGTCCCGTAACGGCCCCCCAAACTGGAGCAAAAACCCCAAAGTCAGAGGACTGTCAGAACAGAACCAGAACCATGGAAGGTGGAGCAGACAGGAGTCCGTTAAAGAATCACAAAAATCTTCTAATATCAGTCAATAGTTATTAGTTATTGATTATTTGGTAATATATCGATATCTCTGTGTTCTCTTATGTCTGTGTCGTCAACATTTGAACATTTTTGAGCGGTCCGCTCTTTCTGACTGTAAACAAAGCCGTTCTCCGCCTCCTCTAACCTGATTGGTTGTGAGGCAGACGCTGCTCCCCCGTGTCGTTCAGGAGCCCAAACAAAGTTAGCGTGCTACAATATCGGACAGTAGAAACCAACCAGAAAGTTCGGAAAATTGTCTGAATCCTCCTTTGGCCACGACTGCCGACACAAGCAAGAAAACAAAGTAAATACCGGAGACTCTGGAGGAATAACGGGCGCTTAAAACGGAGGTAGACCGGACAAGAGCTAAAAAGCCGGGTCAACATAAACGATGGGGGACGCTTGGGGATCTTGGTGACCCTGTAACCTTTCTGCTGGACAGGTAAACCGCTTTAACAAAGTAAGACAAGTGTCTGTAACAGAAGTGTTTCTTGTCAAACGGACCTGCTGTAGCGTGTTGTAGCTCCATCGCTAAACTGTCCTCCCTCGGGTCCTGGACTATGTCACTTTATCCTCGTTGTAGAAGTCCTGCAGACATTGTGTTTGCTGGTAGTCTGTTGGCATCACACGCAAAATTTTCAGAGTTTTTCGGGTCGGGTGTTTTTTTACACTCAACCCGGGATTTCCACCAGAACAACTGCGATTTTCACCATCTGCCAATTCCTACCAGATTTGTTTGTGAGGTGAATTTTGTGGCGGATTACGGACAGCAGGAATCTCGCAAGAACCCGCGGCGATCCGCAGAGGAACGGAAAGAAGTCGGTGTAAATTGACACGTTAACTTGAATGGTTACGATCAGCTACGATCGGAGGATACGACCTTTTAGGAGACGATCAGGATGAAGGTGGAGATCGAGATCTGTATAAAACCCCGTTTGACATTTAAAGGGTTTTATAAACCCCCCAGACAGACCGGACTGACCCCCCCAAAAAAGAGGACAGATGGTCACCTGACATTAGAGGCTCCGCCCCCACAGAGCCTCATGTTAATAAACCTGTTTACAGGATGGAGCAGGAACTGTTCGGGTCTCTGTTTCAGGAACTGAACTTTCAAACATTTACAAACAAACACGGGGAAGCAGCTGATTGGCTGAGAAACAGAGTCCAGCAGCTGATTGGCTGAGAAACAGAGTCCATGGCGAGGTCAGAAAAACTCTGAAAGCTCTTTATTAACATCACGTCTAAAAGTCAAAGAATGGCATTCAGCTGTACAAACTGTGCAGAGCGGGGGTCCGTGACACACTGTACCTTCACTTTTGACCAGATGCTTCATGAATACAGGTGCTCATTCACAGAAGGGGGCGGGGCACAATAAACCCCGCCCCTCCCCTGAAAAACCCCACAAACACACACACACACACACTGAACAGACAGGAGCTCAGCCGCGCACACACACACACACTCTCACACACACACACTTTCTGAAATGTTCATGAATCAAGTAAAGCCAGGAGGAGCATTCAGATCCGTCTGTCACCTGCTGCTCGGCTGTCCTCGACAGGTCGCCATGGAAACGAGATCCCTGATCTCACCTGAAGGACATACAGTTAAAAAAAAAAAAAAAAGGTAAACAGCTCCGTTTCCTCCAATCACAGAGAGTCTCTGCAGAGCTCAGGGCGGGGGGGCTCGCCTCCTCCTCATAGGTCCAAAAGACTCTCCAACGCCACGATATCAAACACGCCATGACCGCCATCAGTGTGTGTGTGTGTGTGTGTGTGTGATAGAAACACGGGTAAGCAGCAGAGCGTTCTCTCTCTCTCTCTCTGTATAAAAGGAACACTTGATCTAAAAATTCAAGTTTTTTTCTGCAGGAGGAAAAGTGGGCGGGGCCACAAGGGTCAGGGGGAGGAGCTTTTCCACCACAGGAGCTGAATTAAATCAGGTGTGTCTTATTCTGAACTCTTCAGGTTCTAACTTCTCTGACCTCGGTCATGTGACCGACCCGCCCACCGTCCGGTCTCCTCATGATCTTCAGACTTCAGAGGTTCTGGACCCAGAATGAAGGTATCAGACAAATCCGAACTGGTGATCCGGTTTGGGTTTTGGTGCCGACGCCTGAATTAACCAGAAACTGGTCCTTAAAAAACCCTGATGGAGGTCTCTCTGAGTTTAGTTTTTCATCCTGAACCTCCAGTCTGTTCTGGACTGGACTGAAGCCTGAATACCGGTCCTTCAGGATCCTGACTGAAGCTCCTCAAAAACCCACACTGACGGTTTGAACAGCTGATCTGGATCACCTTAAAGTCCTGATCAAACCTCCAGTCTGGGTTTCAAACTTGAAGGAGGATTACCCTGAACTCTTCTAAAGACATACAAAGTCTACAGGGGTCCTGGTTCTTTAAAACCCTCATGGAGGATCTTAAGGAGGTTCCTATGGTCTGGCTCTTCAGTCTAATCCAGAATTATTTCAGACGCGGTTTGAGGACTTTGCCGTTTTGAGTTTCTTTAGGATCAGCTGGAAGAACCAGTGAGACGATGTCTGAGCAGGAACTCTGGAGGAACTCTGGAGGAACTCTTTCAGATATGACCTCACTTCCTTTTCCTGTCAGCAGGTTTCACCTTCTCCTTCTTTGAGGGTCTTTGTTTTTATGACCTTCAGATTTCTGTTTGTGGCTCTCAATGATAAAAACTGGTTTAAGGTTCACACTAGACCAGGTCTGGACAGAGAAGACCTCTTTATAATCAGATTAAGGATTACAGGTATCCCAACAGTCTGTTAGCGTCCTGTTAGCTAACGGTATGTTAGCCTGTTCGAGGTTAAGTGCGCCCTTTAAACGGTTTTAAGGAACTTGTTTGTGTTGATTTTGGCGCCCCCCTGTGGACAGACTGACCCCCGGTCAGATTCTAGAATTAGTTTTTCCATAAACAGTGACTCACACTAAACCGTCACTTAGCCTCACTTAGGGTGACCGTACTCCGAATCCCCGAGAGGAGGACACGACCACGTGTGGGGGCGGAGTCAGATGTGCAAAGTAAATGTTTTTTCAGGTCGAGTGTTTTTTACGAACGTCTAACTCAGTTCACCTGCTCGACTCAAACTCTTTAAAACAAAAACCCCGTTAGACATTTAAAGGACTTTATAAAAGGACAAAAGGCGGGACAGCCCCCAAAAAGAGGACATGTCCGGGTAAAAGAGGACATGTTTAGATAGAAGAGGACATGTTTAGGTAAAAGAGGACATGTTTAGGTAAAAGAGGACATGTACAGGTAAAGGAGGACATGTACAGGTAAAGGAGGACATGTTGGGTTAAAGAGGACATGTTTGGGTAAAAGAGGACATGTCCGGGTAAAAGAGGACATGTTTAGGTAAAGGAGGACATGTTTGGGTTAAAGAGGACGTTTAGGTAAAAGAGGACGTGTTTGGGTAAAGGAGGACATGTTTGGGTAAAAGAGGACATGTCTTGGTTAAAGAGGACATTATCGGGTAAAAGAGGACATGTTTAGGTAAAAGAGGACATGTTGGGTAAAAGAGGACATGTCTTGGTTAAAGAGGACGTACGGTCACCCTAACTTAGTTTTTAGTGAGTCTCAGTTTCGTGGTCATTGGGGGGGCGGGGTCACTCAGAGGCTTCACTCTGGGCCCAGAATCCTCTTCCTGTTTGTTGTGGGTCTCAGTTTGAGTGTAAATCTGAACTTTGGGGTCCTTAAACCAAAGTCCGGTCTGTGTGGATGAAGAGTTCAGCAGAGACGATGACGATGACGATGATGATGATGATGAAGATGATGAAGATGGTGGTTTTCTCAGAGTCTTTTGGTTGTTCAGATACGAGGACATGGTCATAATTATTATTATTATTATTATTATAATAAACACATTTTAAAGTGGAAACACACACTCCATACCAACACAGAAGAAGAAGAAGAGCTCTTCGTTCAGCCCTTCTTCTTCTTCTTCTTCTTCTCCTCTCTGCTGCAGACGGAGCTCCGCTCAGATTTTAATGACAAAGATCTCAACACAACAGTGAAGTAACAGAAAATCCACATCTTCCTTCTCACACAACAAACTGAACAGCGGTCAGAGCTCAGGTCCTCAGGCCTGTTTGGGGTTTCAAATGTTCGGCTTTGTAAAACACGGCAGAGGGATTCAAGGTCTCCAGATTCAAGACCTTCCAGGATTTTCCAGGTTTCAGTTCCTGTGGTGGAAAACAGCGATCAGAAAAAAACTAAAACATCCTCCAACAGAGAGATGCTGGACATGTCACCTGTTTCCCATCCCCGATACGACACACTGACACAAACGCACGCACTCACGCACTCACACACACTCACTCACACATACACACTTGTATGTACACACACCTGCTCAGACCCAAAATATCCAGGAGTTTTTCACCGAAGGAAGATTCACTTTAACATCAAATCTGATCCGTTTAGATTCAAACTTTTGATTTTAGAGAAAAAAATGATCCAGTGTGAAAAAAACAAACTCTGAGAGCCGTCACAGGGACGCCGACGCCGCCGCCGCCGCCGCCACGATCGTCCAGACTCTGTTTCATGATCAGGTTCAGACTCATTAGTCCTTTTTGTTTTTGTGCGTCACAGCCTGATTTGGATTCATCCGCTGCTGAAAATAGTCCCTAAAAAGCAGCAAATCCTCGTTTTCTGACACCTGCGAGGACGTCGGCGAGGAGCGAGCGCACGTTTCTAACTTTGAAATCAAAGACTGACAATTAAAAACCAGATTTTCCTCAAAAACAGCTGATGGTTTTTTTCTGCAGTGATCACAGTGTTCGATCGAGGAGATCAGAGAGTTCGGAAACCTTTAATTAACTTTAACGAACTTTAACGTCTGACTCTCCTGCAGCTGAGCTCTGATTGGACCGACCCGCTTCTGTAACTGACAGGGATGTAAAGATGCTGAGTCAGGATTTGGTTTCTTTAGAGTCGACCCTGAGGGTCCAGAGGAGACACGGTTTCATCAAACGGTCTTTCTTTGGACCCCCTGCACCTGGTTTGAGACCATGACTCCTAATGTGGTCCAGAGCAGCTGGTTTTTGGACCCAGAGGACAGAATTCAGCAGAACCAACAAACACACACACAGTCACTGAGAGGAGGTCCAGAACCAAAGAGGGGAGGAGGTTCATGGACCAGCTCCTCTGTCAGCTCAGACTGGTCTGAGATCTGAGAGGAGACCCTGAAGGACTCAGGAGGATCTTTGACCTTCAGCTCTGCAAACATCTCCTCCTGACAGGAGGTCAGACTGAAGGTCAGCTGTCAGTCACCCTGGAGGAGCTGCAGGAGCACGCTCAGATGGTCTCCTCCCTCCTCAGCGTGGACACCATGAGGAGTTAAACTCGACGATGAGGCGTCACACCCCCACTGACGAGGCCTCGTTACGCCCCGACTAAACCAATCAGAGCTCATTACTGAGATCCTTCAGTGGGAGGAGCTACTGCTGTCTGTCACTCTGGGGGGGGCGGGGTTCAGGTCTGATCAGAGTCCCTCAATAACTGTGACCCTCCAAAATCCTGGATTCAGTGATCTCACACACACACACACACACACACACACACACACACACACACACACACACACACACACACACACACACACACACACACACACACTCTCTCTTAGCACCAAAACCCTCAATAGTGCAACTGGTGGGTTTTCAGAGGGGGGGGGTTTGGAGCAGGGCGTGATGTATCCAACCCCCCCTCCCTCCCCCAAACAGGAAATTGTTCTTCTCCTCTTCAGCCTTTCAAAATAAAATTAATCAGATCTGCAGCATTAAAAGACATGCAGGAGGTTCAGAGTCCAGGAGGTCAGCAGGGATTGGTTCTCAAAGTGTGGGGGCGGAGCAAGGGAGGGAGGGGGCGGGGCACAGTAACATCCTCCATGATCTGCAGGTCATGATCCGTAGTTGGAGTCCAAGTCCGAGTGCGTCCTCAGGTTCAAACATGATCATAGTTACACACACAGTACAAAAACAAAGTAGTGCTGACTTCAAACACTTCAACCACAAAGTTCAACGTCACATGGCACCGAACGAACGCTGGAGTAAAAGTGTGTGTGAGAAGGAGCGCACACACACACACACACACACACACTCAGACGCACGCACACACACACGCACACCCCTCCTCAGACATGGCACTTTGATCAACAGGAACCTTCCATCAGAGAATCGGGCGGAGACGAGCGCCGACTGCTTCAAGTAGATGAGGAATGATGGCGTTCAGCTTCAGTCCTGATTTCTCTAAGTGCAGAGGAAGTGCACGCCCATGCCGCTCGTGCTTCACAGGGTGAGGAGGGGAGGGGGGGGAGGCCCTTGTGTCCCTTCTTTTCCAGGCGGGAGACCCTGTTTGGAGTCCGAGCAGCACCCATGTCTTTATGAGATAAGGCTTGAGGAGCACCCTTTGTTTCATCGCTCCGCTTCTCCTCTCAGACACGGGGAGGAGGAGGAGGAGGAGAACTACCTGCTGTACGGGTCGCCGGGGTAACTGTCGGGGGGGCCGACTCCGCCTCCGACACTGGGGAGGGGGCTGCGAGAGGAGGAGGAGGAGGAGGAGGAGGAAGAGGGGGAAGACAAGAGCAGGGAGGAAGAGGAGGGTACAGGGTCCTCGTCCGTTCGCCCGCCGTCGAAAACGTCGTCCATGTCCAGAGAGAGGCCGGGGGGAGGAGGGGGTCCCCACAGCTGCTCAGAGGTGGAGGAGGCCTGGGGGGGAGGAGGAGGGGGGACGAGGAGAGGTCCTGAGGTGGAGGGGGTGGTCAGGGAGGGGTCGGCCGGTCTGGGGACCCCTGTGTTGGTCTGGGAGCCGCGGTGGATCCGGTGGCTGACGATGATGTTGTTCCCAAAACCGCCCATGGACGCCATCGTGGTGCTCTGCTCCCGCTGCACCACCGCCGTCATCCCGCCCTCCGCCATCAGCCGCCGGATCCGAGCCAGAGCGTCCTCGCCGGAGCCGAACTCGGCAGACTCTGCTGGACCAACGAGAGACACGAGACGAGTCAGGAGGACGGAACCTGACAGAGGGATCTACGTTCAGAACTCTGTGTTTTTGTCTTTACCCAACACTCCCAAACTACAGCTCCCATGATGCTTTGAGACAAACAAACGCTGACGCAGAGTCAGTTCATCAGCTGTTTCAAAGACCTGACCCCGTTTAAGGCGGACTGAGGAGAAGAGGGACAACTGGACTTGAGACGAAGCCTCTAAAGTAACTCTTAAAGCGCCGCTGGACCGCCGTCGATCCCCCGTGACTCCGCTAATATAGTTCACAGTTTCTCAGGATCTATACCGTTTATCTCTACGGGATCAAAACTGATCAATAGTTTACCCTTTAGTCGATCTATCGAGGGTTTACAGACGTTTCTACACCTGCCACAAGGTTTACAGTCCAGCCTCAGACACAGGTGTTTGATCAGAGACGATTGGTGGTAAATCTACAGTGAAAACAGGATTATTGATCAGACTGTTGTGATTAAAAAAAGATCAATATCACTAAATATCACTAATGTCATCCGGGTTTGACGAGCTGTTTTGATGACGTCTTCTTCTGTCAAACTTTCGACCAATCACACGGTCTCATATTCTTCTTCTGTTGTTCCCAATAAGAGACAAGAAAAAATTATAAACAGGCCAAAATAGAAAATACAGCTGGGAGTTCAAAGGTTAAGTCCAGCTGTCCTTTCAACATAGAACTGGAAACCATAGATGCTGCATCCTCAGTTTGAAACAATCAGTCCGTTCTTATCCTGCTGATTTACGTCCAAATCTCAGTTTCTGGACCGACCCGGTTTGAAGGAGTTATGGGACGCTCTAAAAAGGATTGGACACCAGGAGCGCGGTGTAAAGACAAAAAGGACAGTCCTGCTCACACACAGGTTCAATCTTCATGCAGACAAACATCAGGACAGAAGAAGTGCAGGTAAGAAAGTCTGAAACCCTCAGAGTGTCTGTGCAGCAGTACCGGTACTCCCTGTGGACGCGCTGGTCTCTCCTGAAGCTTCTCCTGGTCCTGGTCCTCCATCTGCAGCCCGGACACTCTGAGACGCCTCAGTCTGCCCTGCAGACGCTCGACTGGTGGACGGGGTCTCAGGAGGGACATCTGAGGAGAGACAGAAGGATGAGAGGATCATAAACCGTCCAGAACGTCTGACTGTCTTAGTTCTGGACTGAAGGGGGTCAGTACTGGCAGGGGGCGGGGGGACGCTGGGTTCTGATAGGTCCCTCTCTGTTTGGGTCTCGGCGTTGTGCAGCTGGATGATTGGCGTCTGGGTCCCCTGTGATGTCACAGAGGGGGCGGGGTGTCTGGGCTGAAGACCAATGGCGTTCATCAAACCCATGTCTCTGTCCAACCTCCAACCGGAGCGGTTCGGCCTGGAACCGGAGAGAGAGAGAGAGAGAAAGAGAGAGAGAGAGAGAGAGAGAGAGAGAGAGAGAGAGGAGGAGGGTGAGCACGGGGGACGCACACTAACACACACTAATACACACCCTAATATGGGAAAAAAAACACACTTATACACACACACTAAAGCTGAAGATTAAAAAAGTAAAAGATTTAAAAAAGTTAAAGACTAAAAAGTTAGACTAAAAAAGTTAAAGATTTAAAAAGTTAGATTTAAAAAGTTAAAGATTTAAAAAGTTGAAGACTAAAAAGTTTAAGACTAAAATAGTTAAAGACTAAAAAAGTTAGACTAAAAAAGTTAAAGACTAAAAAAGTTAGATTTAAAAAGTTAAAGACTAAAATAGTTAAAGACTAAAAAAGTTAAAGACTAAAAAAGTTAGACTAAAAAAGTTAAAGATTTAAAAAGTTAAAGACTAAAAAAGTTAAAGATTTAAAAAGTTAAAGACTAAAAAGTTGAAGACTAAAAAAGTTAGACTAAAAAAGTTAAAGATTTAAAAAGTTAAAGACTAAAAAAGTTTAAGACTAAAATAGTTAAAGACTAAAAAAGTTAAAGACTAAAAAAGTTAAGACTAAAAAAGTTAAAGATTTAAAAAGTTAGACTAAAAAAGTTAAAGATTTAAAAAGTTGAAGACTAAAAAAGTTAAGACTAAAAAAGTTAAAGATTTAAAAAGTTGAAGACTAAAAAAGTTGCAGACTCTCTCTCTCTCTCTCTTTGAAACACCAAAGTTCCCTTCAGTCGTTCCTCTCAGTTGTCGGACCTTTATGTTTTTAATGATAACTAAGAAGAAGAACCCGTTTTCATACAGAACCTTTAGAGCTGGTACCGCTCAGTCAGGGAGAAACTAAAGTACCTTCAGACCCAACGCTCCTACACCTGGACTCAGACTGTTTAAAGGGTCATCAGGGGTCAGCTATAGGGTGACCCAGCAGAACTCTACAAACTGGGTCAGAGGAACCAAACTTTCTGGTCCTAAAAACATCTTCATTAGGACCTTATTTCCCCGAGAACAGAGTCCGTGTCCCCGAACCCAAAAACCCAAAAACCCAGACTCTGGTCTTATCTGCAGCTCTCACCCCGGTCTGTCAGAACCTCGGGTCCGGCTGGTTCCGCTGTTGTTGACGGAGAATAAAGGTTCACTGCTGGACTCTGGAGGGCTCTCCCCATCACTGCGATAGAACCTGCACACACACACACACACACACACACACACACGCACACACACACACACACACACACACACACACACACACACACACACACACACACACACACACACACACACACACACACACACACACACACAGCTGGTTAATTCACTTCCATTCAGGAAGTCTTGAAAAGAGGGGAGGGGTTTTTTCGTGGAACCACACAGACCACGACCTCATTAAAAGCACTAATTGACCTCCTTCAATTAAGAGTCTTCCTGTTCAGATTGGACATTAGGATAATCTCATCATCTTCACTGTAGTCCATGTGAGGGAGGAGGAGGAGGAGGAGCAGGAGCTTCTTCATCATCAGGGAGAACATCTGAATTCACTCCTTTTCTCTCCATGATCAGAGAAAAACACTCAGAGGAGGACGAACAGAGTTTCAGACAGATTCAGGTCTTCACCCTGATGTAGGGCTGGGCCACATTTGAAAACGTTTATCATGAAATATTTGTTTTATATCAGCTGATATCGATCAATATCAGGATCTAAAAATCTAACAGAGTTTATTGGTCTCATGTCTTTTCCAACACAATAATCTCCTGCATCTGTGAGGTCTGTGTGTCTCTTTGGCGTTTTGTCGTAAGGCGTCGCTCTAGAGAAAGACGACTGAATGGTCGTCTGTTTCGGCTCCTCGCTCTTCTCGGGGTTTGTAACCTTTGGCGTTGCGCGTGCTCTGCGGCGTGGCGCTGCTTCAGGTGGTGAAAAAGATTTGAGGTATTCCCCGACTTTGTGAGAACATGTACTCGACATAATTTACAGTCCACATTACTCTGCTTCATGTCCGACCTCCAAAAACCAAAATACCTCCACACCACCGACGTTTTCCTAACGCCAGTGTTGTGGTTGACATTGATGTGGTCATCTGTTGAGCCTTCATGGTCATTTCTGTCGGGGGTAGCACTCATTTTCTTTGTTTCTCACCAACAGTGCTGTCGGCTTCACCTGTTAAAGTGCTATGGTTGGGTGGAGCTGCTGTCTGCTACGACGCTGCAGTTGGTTGATACTTGGTTCTAATTCAGAACATGATTGGTTCAGACCTGGAGAAACTCCCCTTTTCATTGACTGTTCGTATAGTCGACCAAAACATGTCAGAATGACGACTATTGAAAAGCATATTGATCATGTTTTATATTGATATTGAGGGAAATCAATGTTGGATATATATCGTGATCGTTTTATCGCCCAGCCCCAGTCACTCATCCTCTTTAATAACATGTGAGACACTTACACCGGTCTACAGATGACCAGGTCCCCCTTGTTGGTTCCATAAGCCAGACCCATCCCCGGGTCAGGCAGCCAGCGAGCAGAGTTGATGCTGACGTGGCGCCGCTGGTCTGGAGCCATCGGGTAGACCACGTTAAACACCATCTGAGGGACAGAACAGAGGTCCGATGATCAGGATGATCTAATAGAAGGACTGATGAGACCTGAGCGCTCATGTCTGAGAGGTTCAGAGTCCTCCAGTTAACACTCTTACACCGCTCTACCTGGATATAAACATGATGATTGGGTCATCATCGAAACTATCGACCAATGGTGTTAGAGCTCTGTACCGACAGTGTGCTGTGAAAGACTGACAGGAGTCACATCGACCGTTAAAAAGCTCTTTTCAAATCTATTAAAGGAAACTCTTATTATTTTATCATGCTTTTATTTTGAAGGGTTCTCTCTGTGTGTTTAATCTGTCATAAAAAAGAGATTTAACTCTGTCCTCATATATCTGTATTTGACTGTGACATCTATTTGGTATATTTCTACGCCCCCCTGATCCTGTTTTCAGATCAGCATCAAATAAAGGAGCACAGATGATTGGAGGAGTAAAACAGCTTCTCCCTCCGTCTCACCCTGATGGACGTCTCTCCCCCGTGAGGCTGCTGCAGGCGGAAGACTTGCGCCACCATGTGGTCAGTGGTGGGATGTAGCAGGATCCTGCGAGAGGCCAGGCCCACCATCACGTAGCAGCCCATCGGAGACAAACTGACAGAGATAGCATTTGGTCCTGAGGAGGAAAAAGGAGAAGAGTTCAACCATGGAGGAGGTCTGAGGGGGTCTGAGGGGGTCTGAGGGGGTCTGAGGGGGTCTGAGGAGGTCTGAGGAGGTCTGAGGGGGTCTGAGGAGGTCTGAGGGGGTTAGAGGAGGTCTGAGGAGGTCTGAGGGGGTCTGAGGAGGTCTGAGGGGGTCTGAGGGGGTCTGAGGGGGCTGAGGAGGTCTGAGGAGGTCTGAGGAGGTATGAGGGGGTCTGAGGAGGTCTGAGGGGGTCTGAGGAGGTCTGAGGGGGGCTGAGGAGGGAGGTCTGAGGGGGCTGAGGAGGTCTGAGGAGGTCTGAGGGGGTTAGAGGAGGTCTGAGGAGGTCTGAGGAGGTCTGAGGGAGTCTGAGGAGGTCTGAGGAGGTCTGAGGAGGTCTGAGGGGGTCTGAGGAGGTCTGAGGAGGTCTGAGGGGGTCTGAGGAGGTCTGAGGGGGTTAGAGGAGGTCTGAGGAGGTCTGAGGAGGTCTGAGGGGGTCTGAGGAGGTCTGAGGGGGTCTGAGGAGGTCTGAGGAGGTCTGAGGAGGTCTGAGGAGGTATGAGGGGGTCTGAGGAGGTCTGAGGGGGTCTGAGGAGGTCTGAGGAGGTCTGAGGAGGTCTGAGGGGGTCTGAGGAGGTCTGAGGGGGTCTGAGGAGGTCTGAGGAGGTCTGAGGGGGTCTGAGGGGGTCTGAGGAGGTCTGAGGAGGTATGAGGGGGTCTGAGGAGGTCTGAGGAGGTCTGAGGGGGTCTGAGGAGGTCTGAGGGGGTCTGAGGAGGTCTGAGGAGGTCTGAGGAGGTCTGAGGGGGTCTGAGGAGGTCTGAGGGGGTCTGAGGAGGTCTGAGGAGGTCTGAGGGGGTCTGAGGGGGTCTGAGGAGGTCTGAGGAGGTATGAGGGGGTCTGAGGAGGTCTGAGGAGGTCTGAGGGGGTCTGAGGAGGTCTGAGGGGGCTGAGGAGGTCTGAGGAGGTCTGAGGAGGTCTGAGGGGGTCTGAGGAGGTCTGAGGGGGTCTGAGGAGGTCTGAGGGGGTCTGAGGAGGTCTGAGGGGGGCTGAGGAGGTCTGAGGAGGTCTGAGGAGGTCTGAGGAGGTCTGAGGGGGGCTGAGGAGGTCTGAGGAAGTCTGAGGCTCACGTACCGAATCTCTTGGTGTAGAGCATCTCTCCCAGGTTGTGAGGAGCCAGAGAGTAGATGGCCAGGATCCCTTCGTCTGGAAAACCTCGCTGGCTGCTGGGAATGAAGACGGCCAGCAGCTGACCGTCAGCAGAGATGTCGCAGCTCGCATCGTTGTAGATCTTACAGTTTGGCACCAGAACGTTGACTGAAGCTGCAGAGGAGACAAACACAGAGACCATCATCAGATCTTCATGTTCTGATCCTCCACCCTCAGCTTCATGGTTCCTCCAGGTCTGAGCAGGACCACAGTCTCACCGTTGCTGATCTCAGGAAGGTCAAATTTGGTGAAGTCCCACCACTGCAGCCGGTAGGTGGTGTTGGCGATGTTACTGGCCACGGCAGACTGACCGTCTCCGATAGAAGCACCTGACCACGACAAAACAACGCCATCAGTGTCCTGACATCAGAGAGTGTGTCTGTGTGTCTGTGTGTGTGTCTGTGTGTGTGTGTGTGCGTGTCTGTGTGTGTGTGTCTGTGTGTGTCTGTGTGTGTGTGTGTGTGTGTCTGTGTGTGTCTGTGTGTGTGTGTGTGTCTGTGTGTACCAGCGAGGACTCTGTTGACAGAGGAGTGTGTAGCCAGCCCCGGCTGCCCTCTCTCATGGAAGATCCCGGCGTAGGGCAGGTACTCAGGGAGGAGGAACCTCCTGCAGGAGAACACCACAGAAGAAGAGATGTCAGAGACGCACCAGAACCAACCTGGACCGGTTTGGACCGGTTCTTTAAGGCTGACTCACCGAGGGACGAAGCGACCCAGAGAGGGAGCGGCCATCCTGGCGTTCCGGGGAGTCCTGTGTCTGGCTCTGTCTCCGTTATCACTGCAGAAAAGACAGAGGACTGTGAGAAAACCGAGACCAGGAGGACAAAGGGGGCAGGTCTGACTTTGAGGTGCTGAATCAGCAGAAAACAGGATCAGACGAGTCCTTCAAACATCACACAGATCAGGACTCACTCCAGCTCCTCAAAGTCCACGTCGCTGCTGTCCATCGAGTTGGACGGGTTGCTGGTGGGACTGTCTGAGGACGAGGACATGGCCCGGAGACGGTTCTGCTGGTACCGGAGGGAGCGCTGGCGGATGCTGTCCCTCCTGGACAGGTACTGGATCATCCTTTGGGCGTAGTAAGCAGCAGGAGACAGTCTGTAGACCAGCACACAGACAGGGATCAGGTTTTAGTGTTAGAGCAGAGCCCCAGGACCGGACCGGACCACGGACCCAGACCTGATCCGGACCTGACCTGATGGTTACAGATCTGGGTGTGATGTTTGACTCTAACATACGAGATGTTACTGAAAAGTCTTTTTATCATTTAAAGAAGACCTCCAGGGGGCGCCAGTGTCTCTCTCAGGTCAGCGCAGACACTCTTCTTCTTCATGCTTTTATCACCTGTAGAGTTGACTGTTGTAACGCTCTCCTCTCTGGTCTTCTTATAAAGAACAGAAATCTCCGACAAACTTCAGACCAGGACGAGAGTCCACGTCACACCGGTTTTAAAACCTGATTTTAGAGTTTCAGGTCCTTTTATCAGATTTTAAAGCTCTTCCTGGTCCTTCTTATTTTACCGTGTGATCCTGGTCCAGCCCTCAGGTCTTCAGATCTTTGAATTAAAAACTCAAACATACGAAGAACCATCGTTCCAATATTACAGTCCCCATCTGTAGAACAGGCGACCTGCAGACCTGAGAGCGCCACCTACTGTTTAGATTTGTAAAAGTAAAGACCTTTTTAGTCTGACTTTGAGTTAAATTTAGTTTTAATCTTTTAATTTGAATTATGTGATTTGACCCTTTTTTAGTCCTAGAGTCACTTTTTTGTGTTTTATTTCCTCTTTTTTTTATTTACTTTCTTTATTGTTTGATTTTAAGACGTTTTTATTTCATGAACTTTTAACACTTTATCACCTTTATTTTATTTTATCATGTTTTTATTCTTTTAGTCTGAGATCCAGAGTTTCCTCAGTCATCTGTGGAGAGTTGAAGAGTCCTCACCTGTGTGTCTTCAGAGTGTGTGTGTGTGTGTGTGTGTGTGTGTGTGTGTGTGTGTGTGTGTGTGTGTGTGTGTGTGTTGGGGGGGTGGGGGGGGTTTGGTATTTGTATTTGTATTTACTTCATTTCACTGTTTTTACTTTGTACTACAGTCCATGTTTGAAAAGTGCTTTAAAAACAAAGTTTGATTGATTGATTGATTGATTGATTGATTGAGTCTGGGTCTACAGGTTTAAAGGGTCAGTCCGTGTGTTTCCGTACCTGGCTGGGTCTGGGTAAATGGGGTGGTCTCTGGATCCGGACATGTCGTAGCGTGACAGCGAGAGCAGAGATGATTCCAGAAGTCTCCTGAGAACAGAGAAGCAGATCATCTCAGTCTGAGGACCGACGCCTCACCACGACACCTCCTTTAAGGACCTGGGGCCTCATTTATAAAACCTGGCGTAGGATCCATACTAAAAGTGTACGTAAGTTGAAAAGCTGAAAAGTGCGTAGGCAAAAAAAAAATCAGATTTATAAAACCCTGCCTACGCACACCTGCACGCACTTTCCCTTTATAAATCACAGACCAGCCGGAAAGTTGCTCAGCAGGGATTTGATTCTTCCCCGCCCTCTCCACACCCAAAATTCACCATGTATGGTCATGCAAATTACCTCGTGAATGTGATTTGCATGTAGATAAGCCTGGTGGATCCACGGCATTTCACGCTTAACCATGGCATCAGCAAGTCGTAGAAAAAGAAACTTTTCAGAGATCGAGGTGGAGGTTCTTGTAAATGAGGTGGCGGCGAGACGGGAGACCTTAATTCGGCGGCCATTCGAGTGGCATCACCGATGAAAACGCCGTTGCCGTGGTGGCAATTGCGGTTGGCACTGAGCGCAGCGTTGCCGAAACAGTGTTGTTTTCGTCATATTTCGTCAAATATTTTCGTCAACGAGAACAACACTGGTTGTTTTTGTTGACGGAAATATTTCCCTTTTCTTCCACGACGAAGACGTAACGTTGACGAGCTAAACATAAGTCGGAGATGACTAAAATGTGACGAGACGAAAGTGCGTTTACGTTGATGGGACGAGACGAAAATGACGACCAGAGTTGCAAAACTCAGTCAGTTAAACGCTAACCATATAGGAGCAGCTTCAGTCCGCTCTGACAGCTGTCATCAGCCTGCTGTGCTCCTCCAACACACAGACACACACGCACGCACGCGCAAACACGTGGAGTTTTGTTTTCGTTGACGATGACGTAGACGAAAACAAAACTGTGCCGAAATCAAGAAGAAGTGGTCTGATCTAAAGGTGGAGGCAAAGAAAAAAGTGGCTTTGCACCATCGGAGCGTGGCGGCGACAGGTGAGGATCAGAAAAAACATGCACGTGTGACACTCGTGCATGTGTTAAAAAAAAAAAACCGCTCCGTTATCCACCGCTGCTTATGTGGTGAAAGTTCGTAAACCAAAAAGATTTAGTCATATTAATCTTAAAACAAATGCATGTAAATGGAATTTGTTTTTTTGCACATTTGTAAATTCAAATTGGCAAACTTCCTACACCGCCACAGTGGGGTCTGTGCTTTCTGCGAGCATCACTGCCTGTTACAGCAGCTGCAGCCCTCAGGACAGAAAGGCTGCATCGAGTCATCCGTTGTGCTGAACGCATCACCCGGACTATTCTCACCTTGCTCCGATTGTCTCCAAAAAGTGCGTAAGCAAGGTGTGGAGTTTGCTTAAAGTTGCGCACATTCCTACACTAGTTTTTCTTTTATAAATCCCAACTCTTGCGTAAGAAGTGGCGTACGCAATTTCTAGCCAGGTTTTGTGCGTAAGCAAGCTTTATAAATGAGGCCCCTGAGCCTGATCTAAACGGTTCCTACCTCCTGAGCGAGTCCTCGTCGGGGGGGTCTACAGGCATTTCTTGGCTTAAGGCCTCCGGCGGCTCGGCCGACCTCCCAGCAGCCGCCTGCCGGTACACCCGCTCCCACTGCGCCGTGTCCTGGTTGTAGACCAGACCCACCGTCTGCTCCCCGGGCTGGCTGGGGGTCGGAGCGATGGGGAAGGCCACTGGTCCTGCTCCTCCTCCACCTCTGGGGGGCGGGGGCTGCTCACTGGGCTCCGGAGGCCCCCTCCTCTCTGTAGGCTGGACCTCTAGAGTCCTTCTGCTCTCCTCAGGCTGCCATGGCGATGAAGAAGGAGGAAAGGAGGAGGAGGAGGGGGAGGAGGAGGAGGAGGAGGAGGGGTCCAGGCCGGAGGCGGAGGTGGAGGAGGCCTGGTTGGTGCGCTCCCAGCGCTGGGAGTCGTGGTTGAAGGTGAGCAGGTTGTGGCAGGCCCGGCAGCGGTTCAGGTGACCACGGGAGGAGGGGGGAGGGACGTTGTTCTCCAGGCTGTGAGAGGAGGGAGGCGGGGGGAGGGGCGGCTGATAGTGGATGATGGTGGGGGAGGAGGAGGAGGTGGATGAAGGTCCAGGTCTATCCGGGTCCATGTTATTATTCAGCAGTTCTTGGGTCTGCTCCGGACCCCCCTCCCCCAGCCCGCCCCCTAAAGGCGGCTCCAGGTCCTGCATGCGGTCGAACTCCATGAAGTAGCGGCTCAGGTTGCACTGAAGCACGTTCCTGAAGGACGCCGTGTTGCTGCGAGAGCCGTCCCAGAACGGGTGGTGTCCGCTGCTGGTGCCTGCCGCGTCACGCCCCCCCGGCTCGCCCGGCTGAGGGAAGCCCCGCCCCTCAGAGGCAGAGGTGTAGACCGGGGGCTGAGAGGAGCCGTCCTGCTGCTGCAGCACCGACAGCAGGCTGATGGAGGAGGACGAGGTCCTGGGGGGGAGCATGCCCGGACCGACTCCCCCCTCCCTCATACTGAGCAGGTTGCGGGTCCAGTCCGGTCCAGGTCTGGGGGCGGAGTGGGGGTCCATACTGGGGGCGGTGGTGTTGATAGATGAGCCGGCGCTGTAGTAGACGGAGGTGAAGGCGGAGGGCCGCTCTGACGGCTGTCGGGGCTCCGTGCGCGCGGAGGAGAAGGTGGAGGCTGAGGGGGGCGGGGGGACGTCAGGAGGGGCCGTGTTGGAGGAGAGGGCGGGGTTACGGTTGATGGAACAGCGGCTGCACAGACACACCATGCCGAGGTGCTGGGTGCAGCCCGGGAAGGGGGGTCCGCGGTCAGGGCCGGGGTACTGAGCCAGAGGGATGCTGGGAGATTCTCCTACGCTGCCTCCGCCGTCACCGAGGGGGCGGGGCTGCTCTCCTCCCGCCTGAGCCCCCGGAGAACGAGACGACAGGATGTGCAGGAAGTTGTGGAGGATGGGCGTGCGGCGGACCGGCTGTGAAGGCAGAAAGGAGCGCTGCCGAAAGTGAGGCATCTCCACGCTGTCCATCGGGACCTCCGAGTCCTCCTCGTTCTGAAACACGCAAGACACACAGTGAACTTTGACCCTAACCTCCAAAGATCTGCAGAAACAGAGAGCGCACACTCACCTGCTGATTGGATGGATTCACTATCGCTGTCAGCAGGTTATGACCGAGAGGATCGAACCTCACCAACCTGAAACCACACAACGACAAAACAGGAGGGTAAGACCTGAGGGAGACACTGAACCATCGGACTCCTACACTCAGAACCTCAGTCTGACCCACCGGACTCTCTCGGTGTCGCTGCCCGTCTTGACCACGGCGAAAGGCTCCGGTCGGCTCCAGTCCCAGAAGTGCAGCTCGTTGTTGGTGGCGATGAGGAGCAGCTGGGCTGTTGGATGGAAGGCCAGGGAGGCGATGGCGACGTTGCTCTCTGTGAACCAACTCTCACTACCACCCTGCACACACACACACACACACACACACACACACACACACACACACACACACACACACACACACACACACACACACACACACACACACACACGCACACACACAGTTCAGAGGTTTTAATTGACCTCTACTGTCGGACAAACCTGACGGAGGTCATCTCTGTCAAAGACTCACATGAAGGTCCCATATTCGAACTTCGCCATCAAGGCACCCAGAAGCCACCAGGCCGGGGATTGTGGGGTGAAAGGTCACACACCAGGGGGTCCTACGGTGGCCCACTAGAGAATGCAGGCACTTTCCTGTCTTCACCTCCGTTATGTAAATGTTGTGGTTGACGTGTGTGGAAGCCATGAGGGTCCTGTGAGAGACGAGGGGAGTCGACAGAAGGAGTTAATGAGGGGGGACAGACAGACAGACAGACAGACAGACAGACAGACAGACAGACAGACAGACAGACAGACAGACAGACAGACCCTAACAGACTAAAACTGTATCCACCTTAGATTCAGCGCTCCTGTTAAAGAACTACATTCACATTAAAAACATCTCACCTGTCGGGGCTGAAGGCCAGCAGGAAGGTGGACCGAGGGCTGTCAGGCAGCTCCACTTTCTGCAAAACAATAAACAAATAAACAAACAAACAAACAGTTCACATGAGTCACAATGTCAGACAAATTTATTTAAAATTTCATCAAATCAATAACAATAACACAAACCTGACCCTGTTAATAAAGCCGGCGTGACTCTGTACATTAAGCCTACCTGACTTTTTTATAAAGCCTACCTGATTGTAAACTAAGCCTACATGACTCTATAAATAAAGCCTACCTCACTCTGTAAATCAAGCCTACCTGACCCTGTTTATTTAGCCTACCTGACATTGTTAATAAAGCCTATGTGACTCTGCAAATTAAGCCTACCTGACTTTTTAAATAAAGCCTACCTCACTCTGTAAATTAAGCCTACCTGACTCTGTAAATAAAGCCTATCTGACTGTGTTAATTTAGCCTACTTGACTCTGTATATTGAGCCTACCTGACATTGTGAATAAAGCCTACCTGACTGTGTTAATTAAGCCTACTTGACTCTGTATATTAAGCCTACCTGACTCTGTAAATTAAGCCTACCTGACATTGTGAATAAAGCCTACCTGACTGTGTTAATTAAGCCTACTTGACTCTGTATATTAAGCCTACCTGACATTGTGAATAAAGCCTACCTGACTGTGTTAATTAAGCCTACTTGACTCTGTAAAGTAAGCCCACCTGACTTTTTTATAAAGCCTACCTGATTGTAAACCAAGCCTACATGACTCTATAAATAAAGCCTACCTCACTCTGTAAATTAAGACTACCTGACATTGTGAATAAAGCCTACCTGACTGTGTTAATTAAGCCTACTTGACTCTGTAAATTAAGCCTACCTGACTCTGCCACTTCATCCAGCGGACTTTTTCCTCCACCAGCAGCTGCAGGAGCCTCTGAGAGCCAAACGTCTGAGAGCCTCGCTCTCGGCTCGACAGGATCCGCACCGAGTTCCTCTGACGAGACGCCATGTTGCTACCAATGGGCTCCTCTGATTGGCTTCTCACACCCACTGCGCTCTGTCCCTCGCCATGCAGAGTCTAAGCTGAAATAGAGAAACAGAAGTGCGGGATGGTCAGTTTCTGTGACGTGTTGGTTGATAGAGGTTTACAGAATAATAAAATAACAGACCAGGATTCAGAAACTAAAACACTTTCTTTTTCTAAGTGTTCGGGACTCTCTCTGTTATATCTGCTCTACAGTGTATTAATATGCATGTCTGTCACACTGTCCTCCTGTACTGAACACAGGACTGGTCATAAACAGTAAATGCAGCGGCCTTAGACCGTCTCAATAATCATGTGAGCCTTTCAGGGACCGAACCACGACTCTGAGTGACTCACTTTGATCCATGGACCAGGATTATGGAGCAGATTACAGCCCGTTTACCTGCAGCAGGATGAACTGCTCTTCTACAGACACTGACAAACAGTGTTGTACATAAATAAACTCATGAATCAACAATGATTCCAGGATTAAAATACCAAACATGACTCTGGAGGAAAAACTCAAGTTTAGCTCGGACAGATTAACGTCAGATTTTTCTCCACAAACACGCCGAGCTGTGTTTCTTTTACAGTCTGCTGCTAATGTCAGGGTACGCCCAGCCAGGTTTGGGTTGTTTACAGATTATCCTCACACAGTTTTGGATCATTTCCTCTGCGAGGCCGCTGCCAGATATCCCAGCATGCAAAGCAGCAAAGATCAGATGTGGACCCACGCACAGAGAGAGACCATCTCTGATGGTTTTGTTCAGTACCAGATAAGGTTCTGTACAGCAGACAGGCGGCAGAGTTGAAATCAGCAAATGTTGGACAGGTCCAGATTTTAAGGTCACATCTCTGCCCTCGAGTTCACGGAAAAACAAACACGAACACAGAATCTGATCCTCAGAGTCAGGTTATTCTAACTCTAAATATAGAATGATATGTTAAATTAGTATAATATGTTAAAATGTCCTAGTATAGGATGATAAAAATATCAGATTAGTATGATACAAATGTCACATTTTATTATGAAAAAATGTCATAGTATAATATGTTAATAATGTCATAGTATAATATGTTAATAATGTCATGGTACAGTATGATAAATAATATTATGGTCTAAAAAATGTTAAAGTATAGTATGGTATAAAATATAACATTTAAATATGTAAAAAAAAAGACAAAGTATAATTAGATAAAAATATAGTATTATGTTATGAAAAAATGGAATAGTCTAGTATGATAAAAATCTCAGTTTGTATGTCATTGAGTTATTCTAAGTCAGTCCGAAATCTTACAAAACCACAGAAAAGATCTTCAGAGTTCCCTAAAAGCTCAAACTGAGGACATTAATGTGTTTTAACATCAAACTGAGGACATTAATGTGTTTTAACATCAAACTGAGGACATTAATGTGTTTTAACATCAAACTGAGGACATTAATGTGTTTTAACATCAAACTGAGGACATTAATGTGTTTTAACATCAAACTGAGGACATTAATGTGTTTTAACATCAAACTGAGGACATTAATGTGTTTTAACATCAAACTGAGGACATTAATGTGTTTTAACATCAAACTGAGGACATTAATGTGTTTTAACATCAAACTGAGGACATTAACGGGTTTTAACATCAAACTGAGGACATTAATGTGTTTTAACATCAAACTGAGGACATTAATGTGTTTTAACATCAAACTGAGGACATTAATGTGTTTTAACATCAAACTGAGGACATTCACAGGTTTTAAATCAAACCCACTCTCGGTCTCCAGCATCACTGCTCTGGTTTTAACACCAAACATCTCACTGATGGTCCTGACACTCATTACAGCTGTCATGATAAAAAGGTTTCCTGCTGACTCAGCAAAACTAACAGACTCCAGCAGCAGACCTGAGAGGAGGTCTTCATGGACCTCCTCCTCTTTAGGACCACGCAGACTTCACAGAGCCAGAGAGGGCGCCCTCGCTCCCTCCCTTCGTTCCTCTAACCCGACTCTCTGCAGCTTTCATCAGCTCTGTCCTCGGTCCCAGCTGCTCCAGGGGCCGCCGGCTGCAGCAGCAGCAGCAGAGCTGGTGCTGCTCCTTCCCACTGTGCATGTTTGGAATATTTCAGAGCACTTTGAATGTGAAGGACAGCGAGGCCGAGGGGAGAGCCCGGTTCAATCAACTTTCACCAGAGAGAGAAAAAAAACAAAAAACAAAGAGGAGGAAAAAACACGCCGCCTTCACAAGAATGTGAACTCAACAGGAGGAGTTTACTCTGAGACGGGGACTGGAGAGGGTCTCTATCCTGTTTGATCCCCGGGGAGGGGGGCGGCTCCTGGACAGTAACACTTCAAGTCCCTCAGAGGTTCAGTCAGCTGATCCAACACCACTAACCTCCATGTATGTCTGTGTTGGAGAAATACTGACGCCGGACAGTAAAGGGGGTCAAACGAGGGAATTCGTCTAAATACGATAATGAGACGACATGGACTTTCCTGATCTAGATTTGACCTGGTTTATCCAGATCTGATGTGACAGGATATAATCAGGACCTGATCTAGTCCCTCCTGATCAAATGAAAACGTCGTTTATCTCTAAACTATTTCAGGAATTCACATTAAAAACAATCGGATCTCTTAAACAGAACCAAACAGAGACAGACCTCATTCTTGACCTCAAACTAACCCAGAGGTGTTTGTTCCTTTGGTACTGAACTTCAGATGAAGAACCTGCTTTTACAGATGACCCAAGTGTCCCTGAGAAGATCAGGGAAACTCCTGAGCTCAACAGTCCGATGATGATATCAGGCTTTTCCTGTTTACTGACGTCTCCACTGGAAACACTCAGGAAGAAGTTCACAGAAGAAGAAATCAACTGTGGTCCTACTAACATGGCTAGATGGAGATCCACTTTCTCTTCAAAGTCTCAGTAGGACCAGTTTACACATGGACCCTGAGCAGGACAAACCAAAACCTCCACAGAAGAAGAAGAGACGTCAAAAGAGACAAGGCGGCGCTGTGGAGTTCTCCTGCTGACCCAGACATTCATTCATGTGGATGAATCCGTCCTCGCCTGACGCCACCTGGTGGAGTGGAGGACATAAATGTGTTCTGGAGTCGGCACACAGGGACCCGTCTCAGCTGAAGCATGAGCTGATCGATCAGCAGAAGGTTACGGTCATTTCTGAAGCGATCAGATCATCAGAGAGTTTTTTATGATGATAATTTGGTGTTTGTTTAGTTTCATGAACACCTGCAGCTCCTGACTCAGATCTACGTCTACATGTGGAGACGTCACATCAGGCTTTTGTCTCCCGTCATCACGTCATTCGTAGACGACACAAAAGGCTCTAAATGAGACTCCTGAGAGTCTGAGAGTCTGTTTTATCGAACCCAGGATCAGATTCACTCGATATAAATGATGCTCAGCATAAACACACAGCGGAGGCCTGGACTACGACGCTGGATTAACACACCAGGGATAACTCCGCCACAACTCGTTTAACTTTACCAGATCTGTGTAACACCGATCAGCTGGACTACGAAGCAGGACATCAACTCGGTAAATAAATCCAGTTGTGGTCAGTCTAGATCTGTGTGCGCACACGTAAAAGGGGCGGGGTCAGTGCCACCGGACCAATCTCTACAACAGAGAAGGCTGCGTGTCAGATGTCACAGCCGAGGAACAGAGCATTATTTAATATCATTATATAATATCGTGATATCAAATTTTTCATATCAGCACATGCCTACTCGACACCCTCACTGTCAACGTCGGTGTTGAATAAGGGACCGTCAATAAATTAACGGTTGATGTTCTCAGAAAAGGCTGTTTTCCTTCAATAGCTTCACTGTCATGTGACCAAAAGACCTAAAATTGATTTTTAATAATATTACTAAGGTCGATCAATAAGACAAACATTATTGATCAACTTTCATTGTTCCCCTAAAGAACATGTGAACAACGTTAGAGTCAAGTCCTGCGCTAGAAGCCAAAGGGACTGCTGCAATGAAAAAAATCACTGATTGTTAAATTACATTTGTTTGTTCATGGATTCAGGGTCCTCTAATATGTTGTCATACAGCGTGTGTGTGATCATGTGATCACCATCATCACTGACCTCATTATTTCAGATACAACAGCAAATAAAAATAAAAACATCCTTTAAAGGGGTTCGTAGGTTTATTCTTTGATTTTATATATTTCGACATGTAAACAGTGATTTCCTCGCTCTACCTTGACGAGGAGCTTTTTGCGTTTTTCTCCATCATCTGATGGTCACATGACATCTGCAGACACATTTAGGGTGACGAGGAGTTTTCTAATCTGCTTCAGTAAATTCTAAATGACTGATATCCCGCATGAAACAGGGACTTGGAGATCGGCAAATATGAGTGCGCTGTTTAGACTTCATGCTGCCTGAATATTGAGGAAACTCTGTCATCAGGTAAATCAAACGGATTTGAACGACCACGAACATAACACTCTCTGCGAAGCGCTCCTCTCACTATCCGTGCACTGATGTCCACGGGATCCGGCGAAAGAGATCTGATTGGTCAGTGGGCGGTCTTTTATACCCGCTGGGATCTTATCCGGAAACAGAACCTGCTCCGGAGCAGGTGTGGGCATGGAAAGAATTCCACCTTCGTCGTACAGAAACCCAGGAGTAACGGTGCGCTCCAGTTTCCTCGGAAGTCAGATGTCGGAGCTGAAGATGACGTCACTCTCGGGTTCCCAGCGTTTTAGTTACAAAGTCGGAAAAAAGGAAAATCGGAGGCAGATGTAGCCTTCGTAGATGTAGCCATCTTGTCCGATCATACTCCGACTACGCTGGTTACATGGTCGAGAAAATCGAATTCCAATCTCATTATCTGGGTGTTTTAATCGGAGTTCTTCAACTCCAATTATAGTCGGACTAAAGTGTTTACATGACCTTCAGTTTACGGGTCTTAATCGGAAAAAGGCGATAATTCGGTTTTTTCTCGAGTGTCATTAATACGATCTCAGACCTTTGACCCTGAAATGACTCATTTTTGACGGGACCTCAGGATCTGGACTTTCCTGTTGTCCCCCTTTAATACTGGAACCCAAACAGAACCCCGCCAGTCTTGGACCTGAACCTCTTGGACCTGAACCTCTTGGACCGGTCTGTTTGTGTTCTAAAACTGATGCTGGACTGGGTCAGGTCCACATTCAGACCTGTCAGGACTAGGACCAGGACCAGGATCAGGATCAGCTGTAGTCCATCAGTTCTTGGTCTCCATGGTCCCCCTTTCTAAAGAGACTCCAGTCTGATCCACCTCCAGGACTCTGAGACCAGGATCCACTTCAGATACAAAACCACCTGACCCCTATCACAGACAAAACCCTGATCCAGTTCAGACCCAGAACCCCCCCTGATCCAGACGAGCAGACCCCCCAGTCCATCTCTAACCCGGCCCCTCCCCCTCAGGCCTTAATCTGAACCTTTAATATTATCAATCCGTTAATTTCTGATCAATAACAGAGGGGTTCGATTACATAATCCACATATTAGACCGAGCCCCAGCCAGCTAACCGCAGATTAGCCACATTAGCTTTTTCTGGGTTAGCATCAGTCCGATCCGGATCTAACTGGATCAGGGAAACCCACAGACATAAACCACCTAGATTTTCTCTCATCTTAGATCATTAACTCCTCTCAAAGGTTCACTCTGAGGTGACCCGGGTTAAACTGGACCGGTATAATTCGGTTCTGAGGCCTACCTTCCTCCTGCGGTCCCATCACAGGCTAACAGGCTAACGTCGCTGTTAGCTTCTCAGCTAGCTCGGCCAGAAACGGAAAAAGTGTCCGCGGATAAAAATGAGATTCTTCTGACGAGAACATCGGTGTTCGGCTGTAATCCTGCCGAAAAACATCCACGGGAATCACAGGGGAACATTCACGAGAGCAGAAACCCGCGGAGAGAACCGAGTTTTCCGAAACATTGGTCCAATGTTTGACTAGCTGCCCGATACCAAAATGCTACTGCGTAACTAGCTAGCAGCTAGCTAGGCACAGACAGAAGGCTTACCAACAGAGCGCCGATTACAACTGATCGAACCCACCGTGAAAAAAAACACATCCACCGAGATTAGCGTCATTATTTTCGATGATCAGATTAAAATACATGTAATCTTAGTTTTTAGAGAAACTATTAGATTAATTTAAGGAGGAAGAAACATTTAATCACACCTGCAATATGTTGACTGCTCCCTCGAGTCTTCTAAAATCGATTATAAATGCCTTGAATGAGAGGCTCTCTGTTTCATTGAGGGAATAAACTGACAGATCCATACAGATTCAGATTAGAGACGACATTAAATGACGGATTAGAGACAGTAGAATGACAGATTAGAGGGTTTTATTACATCTTTAGTTTTTCTAATCATCACTTTATTCATGTGTCCTTCAAAGTTTATACTTTAGTGTTTTTAAATTCATTTTTATCAGTGTGAGCAAATAAATGTCATGACTTAGGTAAACATCCAGGGACATTATCACAAGAACATTTTCATAAAACAGGATAAAAATAAATTTAAAGGGATATTCTGGTGTAAAATTAATTTAGAGTCAAACCCACGGTAACACCGAGTTAGACCCCCCCTCCAGAGATGAATGTTGTCGACCGCTTCCTTCTCTAGTTATACCAACTTTAGTAACGACCGCAGGATAGAAATACAGAGAGCCACGCCCCCAACCAAAACGCCACTCTATAGCCACAAATAATGCTCAGAACAGCACCTAACTTCATCAACAGGACATATAGGGTCACAGACATAGTACTAGACACCAAACATCTTTTTAACTTTGACTCATTTCTTTAGCAAAGAGACTAAACACAACTCACCTACTCTCTTCCAGCAGACGCTTGTTTGTAGTGAGACCTCAGGTCAGTCCATTACAGACTACAGCGGGGTAATGCAGCTCAAGGAAGAACATTTATGATCATTTCTTCATAGAAATACAATCAGACCGAGACGCTAAGACAGAAGAACTACCATTTCAGTGTGTCATGTGGTTGGACCATGTACTGCCTGAGTCCATATGAAGTTGATGTCAGTGTAGCGTTAGCTTCAGTTAACACTGGAAACCCACTACACCCCGAAAGACCACCCATGAGAGGAGAATCGAGTTCAGTAGCTTTTTTCATTACTGGTCCCCGGCAGCTCACCTCCGTTGTGACTTTTTTAAATTTACATCCTTTTATTTTCACAGTAACTTTTCTTTTTGCGTTGGTAACTTCCTCTGTGACTGAGACAGAACTGAGTTGATACAGATTCTACGATCCGAAACGTTTTCTTCAGAGTCAGACTTTAATAATGGAAACGTCTTTTTTTACATGCAGAGATCAGAGAAACAGCCGATCAAACAGGTTTACAGGAAACTTTGTTCAGAAAAACTCAAACAGATTTCTTTAAAACAAAAATATTCAACGAGAGTAAAGACTGTTGTTAAAATAACATTTAAAAATAATCATGATTATACATGTTTGAATTTTGACTTTAATTTGAGCTAAAATGTTGATGAATATTTACAATTTGTACAAAATACAGAAACTTTATTCAAACCAGAAAAACTCGACCTGGTCTCAACATTTACCTGCAACAAGGACCAGACTTATCCTTACACACACACACACACACACACACACACACACACACACACACACACACACACACACACACACTGAGCTCCTCAGAAGTTCTCCTTGTAGAAGTTGAAGCCGAAATGTTCACACTGAGCTTTAATGACTTTAGCCAGAGCAGGAGAGCCGCAATAAAAGACGTGAACCTTCCCCTTCTTCTCCTCCGACACCTTCTGAAACACCTGAGAACAAACAACCGATCAATAATCAATACAGAGTCTGAAACACCTGAGAACAAACAACCGATCAATAATCAATACAGAGTCTGAAACACCTGAGAACAAACAACCGATCAATAATCAATACAGAGTCTGAAACACCTGAGAACAAACAACCGATCAATAATCAATACAGAGTCTGAAACACCTGAGAACAAACAACCGATCAATAATCAATACAGAGTCTGAAACACCTGAGAACAAACAACCGATCAATAATCAATACAGAGTCTGAAACACCTGAGAACAAACAGCCGATCAATAATCTATACAGAGTCTGAAACACCTGAGAACAAACAACCGATCAATAATCAATACAGAGTCTGAAACACCTGAGAACAAACAACCGATCAATAATCAATACAGAGTCTGAAACACCTGAGAACAAACAACCGATCAATAATCAATTAAAACCACAAACACCTGCTTGTTGATTATTATTATCGATTATTGATCAGTTGTATATTTGCAGGTGTTTAAAGCTCTTTATTGATTATTGATTGATTGATTATTAACTTGATCATGATACATTTCGGCCCCTGCGGCGTGGGTCTCACCTTCCCCCACTCGGGTCTTCCAGGCTGGGTCCTGGTCCTCAGTCCTGTGATGGAGTCTCTCTTCTCCTTCTTGGCGAGCAGGTCCAGCGCCATCTGCAGGCCGATGGCCTTCATGTCGTTCTTGCTGAGCGCCGAGGTCATGTACATGTGCATCTCCAGGAAACGACCTGTCAGACCACACAGAGGGTTTATTTTCCCCGTAAGAACCTGATTGGACGGACTGTGGTTCTGTGTTTCAGACCTTCAGGCTCCTCGTCGGCCTGGTCCATCTCCAGTTTGGTCAACAAGCTGACGAACCACTCAAAGGACTTCTGGTCTCTGTTGATCCAGATGAAGTCCACCTGCAGGGTCCAGACCAAGAGCTCGGTTTCTAATTGATCATGTGACCATCACAGGTTAAAGATCTGCGGTCCGCTCTCACCTTTCGTAGCTTCATCTCGCTGTCTTTGATGTTCTCACACCACGAGTAGTTACAGCTCGGACAGTTCTGCTTCCTCCTCCGGTACCTGCAGCACAAGGAGACCGGACTCAGAACCTGGACCCAGCAGGGACCTGTACACACCTGGTATCTCCTGTCTGGCCCTTCCTTCACTTCCTGGTCTGGGTGACCCTCGATGGACCGAATTCACTGGATGAAGATCCTCCTGGATCCAAGTCTACGTTCACTCTGCAGGTTCTGACGCACTCTTCGGATTTTTTGTTAAATCCGATCTTTCGTGCGGTCGTTCACGTTACAACAACGACTGCGTCCGTGAAGTGACCCGCATGAACACAAAGCACAAACATCTTTCCGTGCCTGATTCAGTGAACGACTCTTTTGAACGAATCATTTTAATGAATCAATTCTAAAGATTCAGTCAAAAGAACTGATCTTCCATCACTAGTAAACTGGAGACTGAGACCATGAACCCATCAGGAGGAGGACCACTTTATCAGAGAGTCAGACGCCCCCTGCTGGTCATGAGAGAGAGTGCAGGTTAAAGACAGAAGGTCACTCTGTAAAGGTCGACCTTCTCACCTGTACATGATGCTCTGCAGGATGGAGGCGAACGGCGTGATGCCGATACCGGCTCCGATCAGGACGGCGTGTTCAGAGGCAAAGATCTGCCGGGTCGGAGTCCCGTAAGGCCCGTCTACATAACACTGACACACACACACACACACACACACACACACACACACACACACACACACACACACACACACTCTCAGTTTAGAGCCTGTTTGAGAACTTTCTCTCTCCTGTTAACTCACTGGTTTAACGTCTGACTGTTGTAGCTCCGCCCCCTCTCTTTGACCATGGAGCAGGTCAGACAGCAGGACTCTGGTCTGGATGGTCGACCTGCTGATTTACCTGAGTGAAGGTCTTTGACGCTGACTTCGGGGTTTTCTCACCTTGATGTTGCAGAATCGGTGATTTTCTCCGAACTTCACTGAAACCTGCCGATTAAAAAAATCGGATTATTATGAATTTCATCTGCAGTCAAATAATCCGACTTTTCTCCGCCTCCCGACCTCTCTGATGGGAGGGGCCTCTCCTCGCTCCGCCGGCCCCAGCTCATCTGGAGGAGGCTCCGCCGGCCCTGAGGATCCAGGTGTCGGGGGCGGGGCCACATCGGACAGGAAGCCATTCTGACGGTACATCATCAGCTCGACGGCGTCATCCTCGTTCGAAGCGACAGCGCCACCACAGTCTGCAGAGCTGAATAACTCCTCCTGACAGAAAAACAGGTCATTTCCTCTCCGCCCCCTCAGAACTTTTCTAACGTCATAAATCACTGAGTGGTTCTTTAAACCTGCGCTCTCAGCAGCTGTCGGCGGTTCTTCAGGCTGGTGGCGAGTCGTTTGGGGCTGACCATCTCGCTCTCCGGCTGTCTGAAATACTCGTAGAGACGGTTCGTCCACTGACCCATGGAGCGGATGTGGAGCCATAAAGAGTCTGAAGGTCAAAGGTCACACACAAACATTAAATAATGCTCTGATGTAAAATGTCGAGTTTGTTATTAACGTGTCGGTGCAGTAATATTGAAGGAGGAGAGACACGTGGAAACCTCGAGTCATGAAGAAGAAAAACAAAAACTGCAGTTCCTCAAGTGTCCACATGAGGCCGTAATCAAACCCACAACAACAAGGACTGAAGAGAGAAGAACTAAAAAGAGACAACGAGGATTTTTGGACCTGAAGTCCAGCTTCCCTGCAGGTCCGCCCTGACCGATAAAACACTCGTTACTGACGTCATGTGACTCATCCCCAATTTTCACCGCATCCGGAACAGCGACAATTTTTCGCCATTTCCTACCATATCTGTTGGTGAGGCGAATTTTGTGGCGGATTACAGACGCAGGAATCGTAAGAACTCTCAAGAACCCGCAGATTCACGTTCAATCACACGATAACGAGTTGTCTCTCTAAAGACAGACACATAGACATATAAGCAGTAGATTGTGTCCTTCCAGAGGAGGAAATCTACTTCTAGACTTCTAGAATCAGCATCTCCTCATCCATGGTGTCATCGGGGTGAAATGACGTCTAAAAACCTTTCACTTGTTCGTCTCCGCCCGTTTGCATGGTGTGAAATACGATCCTCCTGAAACACGGAGTGTTTTATTTTGAAAAGAAGCCGGATGTTTTATTTTGAAGTCTGTGCCCGACTTCCTTTCCAGCACGGGTTAATCTGTGCTGAATTTATCCGCCATGCTCCGGCGTCCGACGGAAAGAAGTCGGTGTAAATTGACACGTTAACTTGAATGGTTACGATCAGCTACGATCGGAGGATACGACCTTTTAGGAGACGATCAGGATGAAGGTGGAGGTCGGGGGTTCGAAAGTGTCGGAATATCCCTTTAACTCTGCACAGACACGGATCTGGACTCAGCTGTGTGCAGCACGACAGACTCTGTGGGTCCAGGTTCAGACCCCCTAAGGTTGACCCCCCCCGAGGTTCAAACTCGGGACCCGGGACCTGGACCCAGAGGTGGGGTGGGTACCTGACTGCTCTGGAGCGCTGCTGATGGTGAACGGGTGCCACTCGTACTTGGCGATGACGGGGATGTTGATGTAGACGTAGTCTCCTGGTTTGAAGTGGAAGAACTGAGGACGCTTGATCACCAGGTGAGTCACCTGTACGGGGGTAAAGAGTGTACTACCGTAAATCCTCTAATACGGGCTGAGCTGTGATCTGGTTGCTGAAGGTACCAGGCCTTTATATCAAACATCAAACCAGTCCAGATCCAGAACTCCTCACCTTTGACGGCAGCAGGTTGACCTCCACGATGTACAGCCCCCCGATACGGGACACGGCGATCCCCACGATCTTCTCCAACAGGAACACCAGACCAGGAACCACAAACCACTTCCAGAAGTTAGCACAGTGGACCACCAGCAGAGACCACACCCACACGTAAGACAGGTGAGACCAGTAAAACACCTGCAGGGACACACACACACACACACACACAGACACACACACACACACAAACTGTAGGTTTTGGTTTTCTTGCTGCAGTTACGTTTGTAGACACTAGAGGGAGCCGATCACAGGATTCTCACTGGAGAACCACAAAAGAGTCCAGGAGGGACCATGGTTGGAACAAGGAGAAGGTCAAACGTTCAAACGCGAATAAACGATCAAACCGACGGACTCAAACATTCAAGGACGATAAAACAAGGAGGGACCTAAAGTCCAGGTCTTCACCTCGAAGTGTCCGCTGCGGCGAACGAAGGTGCTGGAGCAGAGAACCATCAGACAGATGACCACCTGCAGGACGACCCCCGTCACCGACGCCGTCCCCTTCACCCAGCCAATCCCGGGCCGCGTGGTGAACAGGTACTCCCACAGAGTGAACTCACTGCTGTGTGACAGCTGCACTGAAACACACACACACACACACACACACACACACACACACACACACACACACACCTCTGTTTGATCCTGCAGACGTTAATTTATTTAATTGATTGAAAAATTAAAAACAGTCAAATTTTCATCCTGATGAGTCGGCGAGCTGCCTGAAGAAAGATGGCCGACATCCGCGGACGTCTGTCTCCACTGGCTAACGGCGTGCGTAAGACATCTAGAGTTTATAAATAGATCTATGGTATCATGTATGTGGGGGCGACGGGGTCAAAGGTCAGAGTGTAAACCGTGATGAAGTACCGAAGTTGAGGATGTGGGCGGTGGTGTGCGCCAGCGTGTAGCAGAGGATGGCGTAGCCCACGATCTGATGGAGCAGGATGTTCTGGTCCAGAGGTAAGACCCGGACCACCCAGGTGGCCCTGAGCCAGGTGAGACAGCGCCGCAGCATCAGCATCTGCAGAGAGAGACGCTGTTGTCATGACGACGACCCTTTCCATGAACACGGAAACGTGGCGTTAAAGGACCAGTTCACCTTTTTTCTGAGAGCGTATCTGTAGATGGTCACGGCGGTCTTACCATGACGAAGGTGCAGTTGAAGTTGAGACACTGTCCGCAGCCTTTGGCCACCATGAACCAGACTCCGCCCTGTCGGTGCTGCAGCACGGCGCCGACGAAGAGCAGCAGACTCAGGCAGGCGTACAGAACCAGGAACAGGAGCTTCCTGCTGTTATTGTGCCAGTAGGCCCGGGTCAGGTACCGAGGGGCGTGACGCTTCTTCTGGTCCAGGTCAGGAGGTTTCAGCCAGTTCGCCGCGCTGGGGAGGAGAGGGGGCGGGGTTAAACCCTCGGAGGAGGAGACAGGAGAGAGGAGAGGAGAGGAGAGAGGAAACAGGAGGAAGGAGAGAGGAGAGGAGAGGAGAGGAGAGAGGAAACAGGAGGAAGGAGAGAGGAAGGAGGAAGGAGACAGGAGAGAGGAAAGGAGGGGGGGAAACAAGAGGAAGGAGAGAGGAAGCAGGAGAGAGGAGACGAGAGAGGAAGGAGGAAGGAGACAGGAGAGAGGAGAAAGGTGAGAGGAAAGGAGAGAGGAAACAAGAGGAAGCAGAGAGGAGAGGAGAGGAGAGGAGAGAGGAAACAGGAGAAAGGAAAGGAGAGAGGAAACAGGAGAAAAGAAAGGAGAGAGGAAAAAGGAGGAAAGAGAGGAGAGAGGAGACGAGAGAGGAAGGAGAAAGGAGACAGGAGAGAGGAAACAGGAGAAAGGAAACAAGAGGAAGGAGAGAGGAGAGGAGAGGAGAGGAGAGAGGAAACAGGAGAAAAGAAAGGAGAGAGGAAAAAGGAGAAAAGAGAGGAGAGAGGAGACGAGAGAGGAAGGAGAAAGGAGACAGGAGACAGGAGAAAGGTGAGAGGAGAGGAGAGAGGAAACAGGAGAAAAGAGAGGAGGAAGGAGAGGAGAGAGGAGACGAGAGAGGAAGGAGGAAGGAGACAGGAGAGAGGAAACAGGAGAAAGGAAACAAGAGGAAGGAGAGAGGAGAGGAGAGGAGAGGAGAGAGGAGGAAACAGGAGAAAAGAAAGGAGAGAGGAAAAAGGAGAAAAGAGAGGAGAGAGGAGACGAGAGAGGAAGGAGAAAGGAGACAGGAGAGAGGAGAGGAGAGAGGAGAGGAGAGAGGAAACAGGAGGAAGGAGAGGAGAGATGTTCTGACCTGATGGTGAGGTTCTCCATGACTTCTGGAAAGTTCTCCAGCTCGGCCTTCAGCTCCTCGAAGGTGATGGCGCCGCTGTTGTCTTTATCGGCCGACTCGAACAGCGCCAGCGTCAGGTCGTCCAGCTTCTCCTCCGGCAGAGAGATGGCGCTCTCACGCAGACAGGACTTGAGGACGGTCCTCAGCTCGTCGGGGTCGATGGACCCACTTCCTGGTTTGAAAGAGTTCATGAGAGTCTTCATCGGTCGGCTAAAGACGCAGACTCGGCTACACATGATAAGGGGACAGGGTCTGGGTTTGGGGGGCACTGACCGTCCACATCGTAGACCTGGAACAGGAACTTGAGTTTGTCGGTCTCTGTGCCGTGGATCAGGAGGTCCAGAGCCTCCAGCAGCTCGTCCAGACTGATGGAGCTGCTGCCGTCCGAGTCGAAGAGAGCGAAGAAACGCTCCGCGAAGAAAGACTGCAAGGACACAACGAGAGACCTCATCAGGAAAGACCTGGACCCCCACAGAGGAAGACCCGCACTCTACTCTGGGGGTTAGAACTGAACCTCTTGAGTCCGGTCGGTCCTTCTCACCTCTTTGACCTTCAGGGCCGTCTTGAACTCGTCGATGTCGATCTCTTTGTCCTCTCCGGCGATGCTCTCAAACTGTTTGGTGACCCACTCCAGCCAGCGGGTGTCCTCGTCCAGACTCATGCTGTCTGAGGAAGGACAGGAAGTACAGCTCTGAATGCTGGACCATCACAAACCTTCTCAAACCACATCCATGACCAGACCAGATACAGAATCAACAGAAGGTCGTTCTTCAGGGCTGAGAGGTTCCTCAGGGCGCCATCCTGGGTCCTCTTTTGTTTCCTTTAACCCCAGAAGACGATCTCCGGCTGATTTTGACCAAACCTGTTTTTAGCTGATCTTCATGATGTTGTGTTTGTCTGAGGATCACGGGTCTCTGAGTATCTTCAGTGTTTCCTTTGACGTCTTTGAAGACAGATTTGTTTCTCTGATCCTAAACCTGTTTTTTCCTACAGACTCGTGTTCTCAGGCTGATGTTAGTGATGGAGGGTAAAGTAGGTTTGACAGCTGCATGTAGAGAAGAAGGTCAGTCAGAGCGGTCCTGGAGTTTACATGTTATCTTTATTTAGTGCAGTGGTTCTGAAGAACTGTCACAAAGTCCTGATTTTAAGTGAATTCAGATGGAGATCAGAAATATTGGAGTCAGCTTTAATCATCTTTACTCATAATCTGACAGATTCTGGTTCTGAGGACCCGGAGTCTGAACCAGGGAGGACTCACATGACCCAGGAGTGGGGGAAAAGAAAATAACTTTATATATAAAAACTCTTCTCTCGCCCACCCTGGGCCGTATTGTGTCTCTTCAAGTTCTGGTCCTCTACCAGAGGGCTGGGATCTTGAGGGTCCTGCACAGTATCCTTGCTGTTCCCAGGACTTCACTCTTCAGGACTGAGATGTTTCTGATGTTTCCTCAGAGATCTGTTGGAGCCACTCTGGAGTTTCTGCCCCGATGACCACACACACCGCTGTTTCCTTCACCTTCCAGCCTTTCTCTGTCTCCTCTTTGAGCCCTCGGTTCTTCTCTAGTTTCTCATGTTTCTTCTTTCTGATGTTGGTTTCACTTGGGATGGCGACATCGACCACAACGGCTCTACTCTTCTGTTTGTCTACGATTACGATCCCCGGTTGGTTGGCCATCACTATTTTGTCGGTCTGTAGTCCCTCAGGGTCTTGGCTCGGTCGTTCTCCATCACCTTGGGAGGTGCTTGACCTCAGGTTTCCTGTCCATGTTCTGCTCAGATGTTCCCGTAAACTTCACCGCCTACTTGGTTATGGCGTTCCATGTTTGCTTTTCCTGCCAGCGTCTCTGGACTGTTTCAGGGCCCTCTTTGCTCAGCCCTGGGATCTTGCCTGGTTTGATAGATCTGGACCTCTATTGCTCTGGTGCTCAAGGCCTGATCCTGCTAAACTAATCAATAATCAATAATCAATGGGGGGGTAAATTAGTGTAATAGTCCTTTAATGTCTCAGAAACTTTAGTGTCGCTGTGTTTCGTTGGATCATGTGACCTGTTACCTCCCTGACCCTGACCCTCATCGTGGACTGGTTCTGTCTGCCCGGTCTGGACTCTGTCTTTGATGGTTCTGCTGAGTCCAAACCCAGAAACGGTCTGAGTGACATCACTGAGTCCTCCATCCTTCAGGAACAGCTGAACGCCGCAGACGTCCTGCTGCTGTGTTCCCACAGAGAGGCTGCAGCTCCGTGAAGGAGGCTGCCATGGAGATGTCAGCCGCAGACACACACACACACACACACACACACACATCACTGACACACACTCGAACACAGACACAGTGAGAGCAGGTCGTGGTTCCCTCACACTGTTAGATTAAATATCTAATCCACTTTATTTCTACGTCACATTTGAACAAACGTTCAAGTTCATCAAAGTTCTGCTCAAGAAAATAAAAGATCAGACAGAAAAACATCAAAAGCAGGAAAAAAACATTTAAAATGAAATAAAAACACAAAAGAATAAAAGTGATAAAAGAGATCAGACAAACTCTCACGCTGAGCTCAAAAATATAAAAAAGAGTTTGAAGACGTGATTTAAACGTAGAAAGAGTCGCTTTTTAAACGAGTTTTAGGGACGAGGAGTTGGAGCTGATCAGCTGACCTTAAGGGTATAAACATTGAAGAGGTTGAGATGTGCTGTGGTTCTGATCCGTTTAAAGATTTAAAGACAAACAAGAACATTTTAAAATGATTCTAAAATGAACATGAAGCCGATGGAGCGGCGCCAGAATCGTCGTGATGTGATCATGTTTTTATTTACCTGTTAAAAGACGAGCAGCAGAGAGAAACCTGATGAACGCCGACGTAGAGAGAGTTACAGTCGACCAATCAGAGAGCGGAAACAAAAACAGGAAGGACTTTATTAAAATCATTAAAAGATAAAAACCGATTTAACTTTGGAGAAAAACCTCAGATGATAAAAACTGGATTAACAACAGAATTTAAAATCAGTGTCAACTTTTACACCGAGGTTTAAAACTGTGGGTTTAAAATAATCAATCAATCAATCAATCAATCAATCTCACAGTGACGGTGTTGACTGTGATAAAAGTCCACATGTCCGACCTCAGGGGTCATCATGACTGAGAGTCATCAGGAGAACTAAACGTGTCACAGAAGAGCGTCCCACCTCATCAATACTTTGACTGATTGATATCTTTGATCGATGGTTTTAGTCTGAAAATATAAATATTGATCTGTAAAAAATCTGAGAGCTGAGACACGTCAGTCTGAGTAAAACATAGATGTACTTCTTCTCATAGATGTTCTTCTCATAGATGTTCTTCTCAAGGGTCTAAAGAACTTTTTCTGATTTCCGTGAATAAAAAGTGAAAATGTCACTTTTTTAAAACATGATTTTATCCTGATGATTGTTGAATACTGAAAACTCTGTAAATGTCGAAAACGTCTCACTGTTCGTGTTGTTTGTAGTGTAAGTATTATTATATTATCTCTATATTTTAATTTGATCTTTTATCTCTTTTCCTGTATTTGCTCTGAGATTATTAAAGTATTTCTGATGTTTAAAGAGAAATAAGAAACTGTTGGAGTTTTACCTGCTGCTGTAAATCCTGCTGCGTGTTCGTCTCTCCTCCTTCCTTCTGTTTCTGGGAGCTCTTCCTCCTCCTCCTCCTCCTCCTCCTCCTCCTCCTCAGTGTCAGCTGGAGCTGTCAGCTTCTTCATCCTCAAACGTGGCTGCAGACTCACCACAGGGGGGTTCAGGATCTGGTCTAGTCCTCTAGGTTATATAAACTCTCCGCAGGTTTTACGTTTAGAGAAAAAAAAAACTTTTTTTTTTAAATTCCTGTAAATGTTTTTTTATTTCTATATGAACATTTATTTGATGTTTCTCATGGAAATGTTATAAACGTGAATAAACTGAGATTAACGAGGTTTAATGAGGTTTTAATTGTATTGAAATAATAAAAGTAAACAGACTTTAATTTTTTTTTCTTCACCAGATGAAAATAAAAATACTTTAAAGGTGCTGAGATCTAAATTTGGTCTCCAAACCTTCATGCTAACCTAAGCTAACTATTTTCCTGTTGAGGGTCGCAATATTTTTTTTTGTAGGATGGTAGGAGAAGATCCCGCCTCCTTCGCCTCTGATTGGCTGTGAAACGTCATCACACGCTCAAGCCGAGCGCGGGCTGTCGGCGGAATATTATCATTATTCTGAATCTCCTAACCCGACAGATGATGTTTTACAGCCATGAGGAATAACCAATCAGAGCCCAGCACCTCTAGCCAATCAGAAACAGGGTTTTGTTTGAAGGTTCTGAGTTTGTGTCCGTGGACCAACTGAGTTAGAAGTGTGTAAAAAAACACTCGACCCGACCAGAGAAACCCTCAGGATGACTCCGCCCCCTCGTCGTCGTGGATTCAGAACATGGTCGCCTGATTCTGTGTCGACTCTTCAGCTCAACAAAGCTAACCCGTTTACAGCGTGTATGCTAACTTCATTAGCTGGTCGAACAGGAAGTCCGTCTTCGCTGATCTAGGCGAGATCTTTCCTCCTGGTCCAGGTCTTCAGGAGTTTCTGCTGAGTCAGCTGCAGGACTATCAGCCCCGGGATCTCCTAAGTCCTCAGTCCCAGTCTAAGCTCGGTCTTCAGTCTTCATGATCCCAGTTAGAGCAAAGAGTTCAAACATAGACACTCTGACAAATACAGATCTATGTTAAAACATCTACGTTTAATCGTCTTTATTAGAGATTTAAGGCACAAACATGAGACCATCAGACTCTGACCTGCTGCTGCTGCTGCAAACATCTCCCTGAGCTTCAGTCTGTGTCTGAGGAACATCTACAGACCAGGGTCCAGGTCAGTCCAGACCACCACCACAGAAAAACAGGAACTATCATCAGATTTACAGAAAACACAAACACACACACACACACACACACACACCAGATACTGAAACATTCACATCGGTACACCCCCCCCAATCAGCTGATTTTTCTTCATGATGGTGGAAGCAGAGACGACACCAGGGTCTCCTCCTGGTCCTGGTCCTGGTCCTCCATGATGTCCCGCAGAGCCTCCAGTCCTTCTACAGACACGATCAGACTGCCGACCACCTGACTGCTGTCCTCCATGTCCACCACTGCAGAGGACACACACACACACACACACACTTGTTTATATACACCTGTGAGTCCGCCTCTGTGTGTGTGTGTGTGTTCTGGTATTCATGGCCTCATGGGGACCAAAATTGAGGTTTGTGTGTTTGTGGTTAAAATGTGTTTAAATGATGTATTAGAAGAGAGAGTACTTATTTAATTTATGAATAATAACTTTAATGATTCAGATAATTTCATCAGACCTTTGATTCTCTTTCAAACTCTAACAGGCGGTTAAAGAGGCGACATGTTCAGACCGATCTGTATCAGGGTGATCCTTCAGATCACTTAAACCCTTTCAGACCCAAACCTTCACCTCTTTATTTACATATTAAAACTCGTCTAAATAACTAAGTTAGGTTATTGATTTACAACAGATGTTTCTATATTATAGTAGTTTATTTATTACTAAGTCCCCATTAATCAGGACCATTGTGTTAAAAATACAAAATAATCAAATGATGTTT